CTTTTTCACCAATGAGCAGAGTGGCGAGGCCGGCGCCGGCCAGCTGCTCTTCGCCAACTTCAACCAGGACAACACGTAAGGCCGGGCCGGGGTCGGGCCCGGGGGTGGGGCGGCCGCGCTGCTTCGTGCAGGCCCGAGCCCGCGCCAAGCTCGACGGGTTCGCAGGCCCGGCCTCCCCTCGGGCCGAGGCGGGCAGCGGCGTCCCAGGGGACGGGCCCAGGCGTTGGAGGGAGGGAGGGGCGCTCTCCTGGGGGACCCTCGGCCGCTGCCCTGGATCTGCGACTTCTGGGTGGGAGAGGTGGCGGAGATAGGGATGTTTTCACCTGCTCTCGGAGAGCCTCTCGTTCTTCAGACCTCACTTCTCAGAGAGTTGGGGCAGAACTTTGTGGCTTAACTTGTTTGGGCCGCCTGTGGAGCGGTGACAGAGTTGCTTGCTTCTCTCCCGCTTCCCCCTTCTTGCTCAATCCTCCCCCCCGCCCCCGGCTCTTTCTCCTCTTCAGGCCCTCCTCCTTGTCTCACCACCTTAGGGCCCCTTTTCCCTCTTTTTTTTTCCTTTTCTTCTTTTCTCACTGTTCTTTTTGGCAGATAACTTTGGTGTCTTCTCCTGGCAAGACACAAATTTAGCAGTAATCCTGGCCTCCGACCTAGGGAGAAACTGAGTCAAGAGAGATGTTACAGAGCAGTGCTCAAGGAGTTTTGGGACATCAGGAGATGGGTCATCCTAAGGGCAAGAAAGAACTTTATGCCAGCCTGTGGATTCAGAATGCTGTTTGTTCAAACCGATATAGGCTGGAAGCTGATTCTTCAGAGGCTGCCTGGATGACCTGTAAGGATAGTTAATAGATGAGGTTTCTGGAAAAGGAAGGATGAGTTATGGGGCTGGAAGGGAGGAGAGCCATCTTGGGAAGTGAGTAAGAGGAAGTGATGTAAGGGAGGAGGAAGACTGGGTCCTTTGGCATCTCGCTAAGTAATTGAGTTGTTATTGGCTGAATGAAATTAGCAAAGTAGAAAATGAGATTTTTTAAAATTAAAAGTTAATTGTAGAATGGCAAACACCCCATCGGTAGTCTGCTGTGGGTACTCAATAGCACCTTCCAAAAGTTGTGAAACTAGTGAAGACAGTCGCACTGTGTTGAGAGTTGGAACGGGGGCAGATCATCTAGTCAAACTGTAGGTGAGGAGACCAAACTATAGAAAAGTTCAGAGCTTGCCTGGATCTTAGAATTGGTTAATAGTGGAATGGGGGCAGAAGTAGAATCTAGTCTCCTGAGTTCTCTTCCAATGTTCTTTCCACTTTGCCACGCTATTTTTTATACCTACTGAGAAGGATTATGAGCAATGTGAATTTAGAAATCATGCTGTAGCAATCTGTAAAGATTAAAACTGCCAAGTACTATAGTGTTCTATGTAACCAAAAGCCAGCATAACAAAAACAATTCAGACAACCTGTTGTTGTTTGCTCATAATTGGGATAGACTGTATTCATCCGGATAGGGAAGAGGAAATTTCAAACGAATTTTGATTTGGTTTTTAAGCCCTTAGTATTTTGAGACCAGTAAGAAACGATAGGTAGTATTATGGGGTTTTATGCCTTGTATAAATTAAGAATTTCCAAAAAATTTTCTACCACTTTCAGTCTAACAGTTTTTCACTACTCATTATTTGTAATGGAAAGTAATCAAGTATGGGAAATCATTCTCTTTTGCTGTATTTCAACTGGGCTACAAGTTCCGTATATAATAGAAGAATGTAACTGTGGCCTGAAATAGAACTTTTCACACATGGAAATCATGTGCTTAACCACTCCTCTACGTGGCCTGAAGTTACTAGTTCAAGAAGAGATTTCTGTGTCATAATTTTGACTTTCCAAAGAGACTTTGATATAGTGTAAACATAAATTGGAAGGAATAGTGAGTTAGGATTATACTAAAAGTCTACCTGTGTTATTTGTTTGAAACCTGCACTGGAAAGAAATGCAAAAATTCCTACAGAGAGAGGCTTTATGTTTATGCCTTTCCCTCCCTTCCCAGTTTCCGGAATTTATTTTAATAGAGGAACACAATAATAGCAAGCAGAGAATATCGGTCTAGAATCCACATTTGCTGTATTCACTGAGAAAATTGAAAGTCATTTCACTTAATAGGATATATGTGTGTTTTACAGTAATTTCACTTTGTCTTTTAAATGCTTGACAACACAATATTCATGGCATCCCAAACTATAACTGTCCTGCCTTTCTTCTTGTACTGGTAAAATGATTTCAAATATTATGGTATTTTTTCTTGATTTTATTTTAAAGTGTGAATGAGTTTTATTTGCTTTTTACCATCTTTTTTTTTTTTTTTTTGAACTAGAACAGTGAAAGAGTCATCAAGAGCAGCTGGTTTCGGTCATCTCGCTGTTGACTGGTTAGTTCCAATCCTGAATTCTGAAAGTAACACTTTGGAAGGCTTATATTGGAGGACTTTTTGGCTTTTTGAAATTGAAGTTAACCAGTTAATAAGTGGCAGAGGGTCATTTGAATCTTAAATGGAAATATCAGGGACTAAATTTTTCCAGTGGATATCACAGTTTATGGGAAGTTAGTGATGTGGCAGTGTCTTTTAAACATTTCTAAAAGGGATAGAATAAAGAAGGGACTTGTGTTTGTGGACTTGATGTTATGAAGTGTCTGGAGACAATGAGGAGAAACCTGTCTGGATGTACTGCTTTCTTCCCCGTTCTCTTCTAGGGTAAACTCACTGTGCTGGGAAGGTTCTGCTCTCCTCTCTTTCCTCATCTGTAAATTGAAGATGGTTTTTGAGGATCCTTCAAACTTTAAAGTTTTAGGTCATTCGGTCTGCTCTGCAGAGGGTGTATTTGAGGAGGGCAGGAGACCACTTACAGGGTATATTGTCCAGCAGCAGTCCAATGGGAAGGAGACTGATTAGCCATCAGGACTTGTGTGACCCACGGGACATGTATGATGCATTTAAAGGGGAAGTTAGATGACTTCCAGTTTCTGGCTTGGGTTCTGAGTGAACAGTGATATTATCATGGGAGAAAAATTAGTAAAGGATTCAGTTTAGGGGGAAAGATGAACTCTGCTTTGGGTACTGCTGAGTTTGAAAGACCTTAGGGATATCCAAGTAGAAGTCTGGGGTGGGGAGGATGTGAGTTGCAGGGAGGGGGCTGTCCCCGTGATAAACTCTGAGCAGCTGTGGCCCAAAGTGAGGGCACCAGGGCCTTTCAGGGCTCTGATGGCAGCAGCAGCAACAATTCAGGTTGCATCCTGTTTACAGTGTTGGACTGTTCCTACTTAACTTCACAATCAAGTATGGCTTTCATGAAGAGCATATAATGAAAAGGGAAAGCCTTTATGAACTGTTGATTGGGAACAGGGTAGAGAAAAGATAAGGAAGTTAGGGAAAAAAATCTAATTCATATTTTCATTTTTTATTGGAAATCACAAACTTTCAGATGTTGGATGCACAAGTTTAAATTCAGTGACAAAGACTTTCAGTTAAAGATGGTGGGTCAAACACAAGCATTTATTTAGTCTCCCTCTCAAAACCCAAATTTCGGTCAATAGTGATGTCAAAGATACTTTTTTTTTTTTCCTTTTTGTCTTTTTTCGTGACCGGCAACGGATCGCAACCCTCAGTGTCGTGCCCATACCAGACCGGGACCGGCCACGGGATCTCAACCCTCGGTGTTGCTCCCGCCCCCCCCTCAGCCCGTGAGCGGCCCGGCTGGTATGTGGGAGGCGCACCCCCCGCGGGC